ATGTATGTTATGTATGTATGTAATGTATGTTATGTACGCATGTAATGTATGTTATGTATGTATGTAATGTATGTTATGTATGTATGTATGTATGTATGTATGTATGTATGTATGTATGTATGTATGTATGTATGTATGTAATATGTATGTAGTATTTGAATATACACACATACGACACATACCTCCACATGAACGTCTACATGTAAAGTCAAACGTGTGAAAGCCATGGTTTTGGTTGCAGTGATGGTTGCGCAGTGAGGCCAGCAATAGGTGTGTCCATCTTCGCCATGAAAAGAATCATGACCACAACGAGTACGAATACAGGTACACACGCACACGCACACACACACACACAGAGACATGCGCATAATATGCGCACATACATGCATACGTACATACATACAGACATCCATACATGTTCAGAATCTGCCGCCAAGAAGCCACAGGAACCCTCAACCTTAAACCCTGAACCCTTAACCCTAACCCTAGCCGCCAAGAAGCCAGAGGCAGCGAAGGCATTGGAGGAGACGTCACTTGGTAGAGCCGTACCCATCACCTTGCATGAAAAAGCAGCTTGTGGCTTTTCCCATTGACACTGAAAATTTGGGGTGAAGGTCCCAGACCACCGGGAGGATCCAAAAAATAGATCCCATAAATGGGTGCCTATAAAGTACCCTTTAGTAGTTGTGGTCCCAAATTAGGGGATCTACTTTTTAGATCCTCCCGGTGGTCTGGGTTAATGGTTAGAATCGGGTTTTGGGGGGTTCCTTCTTACAATTATAGTATAATATACCCCAACAACCCTAATGATTCAGGCCACTATACCAGGGAGCTTCAAGGCAGGTCGTTTGGGGTGAACCCTAATTACACCCTAAACCCTAAACCCCGAAGGTTGTGCTTGATGCTGCGAAGTGGGCCAGCTTTTGCGGTGCAAGCCATAGCAAGGCGGCGAAGCCCTCGCGCAGTCCTGGAATTTAGGGTTTAGGGTTTAGGGTGATTCCCCGAGAGGTGTTCATTGTGGGGGTTTAATATAAGGGCCTGAATAATATCCTATACCATTTTGGGGGTTCCTTGATATAATTGTACTATAAGGGGCCCCCGAAACCCTATTCTACTTATTAAGGACCCTATACTAGGGTTCAGGGTTTAGGGTGGCACTTTACTACTCGCTCAGCGCCCTCTGTCGTCACGTACATGTCCTTGTGTTTATGCTCTCGATAGTGGAAGGGTCGGAGACTACACTGACAACTCTGACTGTACGGCAAAAGCTGCACCATCCCAACATCATACAGAGCCATTGGCATAGCATGAGCGGAACTTTGCGCTTGGGGGTGGTTCTAAAATTAGGCTCCTCTTTGGGAACTGAATTAGCCAAAGGAAACTACAGGTGGGGAGTTTAGGGTATATAGAGGCTCTACGGGGCTCTATAAGGTATATAGACCTTCATTCAGGCTCCCATAACGGTAACTACCCACCTGTCCTAGACTTAGACGGAGTACACTCGTTTGTGGCACCAAAGGAAACTTTCAAGCGGCAGGCCCCTCTTGTCTGCTTCTCTTTGTGCCAAATCTCAACTTAGACTAGGGTTTTGGGAGTATCAATTATAATGAGGAGCATGAATTATAATGAGGAGCCCCAGCAGGAATAATGTAGGCAATGGCAATTATGCAGGATGAGCTTTGCTAGCCAAGGTTCTTGCGAGAGCATGTGATGTTTCCATTGAAGCATAGACACTATTGTGCAAGTGCCAATGCACAAGTTTCGCAGAAATGGCTTCTACTTTATAAAGAGGATTGAAACCCTAAACCCTCCGCATCTAAACCTGAAAAGCCTAAACCCCTAAACCAACAACTCCTAAACCCTCAGCCACTAAACCCCAAAAGCTTAAGCCAAAAAACCCTAAAGCCTCAGCCCCACAACCCTTACCCTAAACCCTAAACCCTAAACCCTAAACCCCCTAAGACCGGAAACTGCCAGGTTCGGGGTTTGGGGCCTACCCTAAACCCTAAACCCCCTAACCCTGAACTAAAGGCGTTTAGGGTTGAGGGGTTCAAGGGCTTAGGGTTGAGTCTTTCAGGAAGCAAATGGTTCAGGGTTTAGGGTTTAGGGTGATTGCAGGCAGGAGGCCGCGCGGAAGTGCCACTGCAACTGCCTCATACGACTGTGTTTGGAGGTATATTCTACTATGCTTGTCGTAATCATTCCCCGTTATACTCCCTGAAACATTGCACTACACTACATCACCAGGATTAAAGTTTCGTCGCACTTGGCTAGACCATCTTGCGGAGGACGCGGAGTACGTGGAAGTGCATTTTACGTGGCCTGGCTAGCGGAGGAATTAATCCACGGGAATAAAATTATACTACTATAATGTTCCCGACGGAGGACTGGGTGGAGGAGTCNNGCGACATACAGAGTGCGACGAACTTTCGTCCTACCGCAGTATAATGTAGGGGCGTTCATAATTAGAATAGAGTTTTAAGGTTTTAGGGTATATCATCCTGTAAGTATCATAAGGAACCCCCCAAAATAGTATCGGTAATGATTAAGGCCCATATATTACACCCTAAACCCTGAACCCCTAAACCCTAAACCCAAAACCCCTATAAACCCAAAACCCCTATAAACCCTAAACCCTAATAAATGGGTCCGACTGCTGAGTATCCGAGGTGCCTGCGGCTCGCTGCGCGCCAGGGCCTGGAGGAGGAGCCCGGCACTGCGACGCATCACATGGTCGGTGAAAAGGGCGGCAAAGGTCGCGGTCGCCATGGCCTGGGTGTTTTGTTGTGTAATGGGTGTTTAGGGTTTAGGGGTTTAGGCTAGGAAGCTTAATTATCAAGCTACGATGATGAGAGCATCCTACTACTACCATACAGCCTTATGATGGCAACCTAAACCTAACTAAGTTCATTAACTTACTTCCACAAGAAGACAGGGAAACAAAGGGTTAAACTTTCAGATTACTACTAAATTATAAAACCCAAAAAGTTTAAAAGTTTGGTATTGGAGAACTAAGTCAACGAGAGCCCAGTGGCGGTTGGGTGGCCGCCGATGCCCGCACGTTGCATTGCGCGTGCGGCATCCAAGGCGGAGCTCCGTACCGACACATCACCTGGCTCGGGACGCCGGTGTAGTCCATGGCGGACCTAGCTCATGGTTCGGATCGTACTGTAAACGTTGAGGTTTTTTGATTCATTATTGAGTTTAAGTAGCCTGAACCCTAAAGCCTAAACCCTATAATCAAAGAATGTTACCCAATTATGACAAAGGGACGAAAGAGAGAACTGCTGGGAGATGTGAAGAGAGGCGGGCCATTGCAGAGCCGGCGGAGTGGAAGCCTCGCTCTCCTTTGCCGATCTCCTTGGCTCCCTTGCCTCAGTAGAGTTTAGGGTTTAGGCTTTGGGGTTTGGGGTTTAGGGTGATCTGCTTGGCTCCCTTGCCTCAGTCGGGTTTAGGGTTTGGGGCTTACGGTTTAGGGTTTAGGTTGATCTGCTTAGCTCCCTTGCCTCAGCAGGGTTTAGGGTTTAGGGTGATCTGCTTGGCCCCCTTGCCTGAGTAGGGTTTAGGGTTTAAGGTTTACGGTGATCTGCTTGGCTCCCTTGCCTCAGTCTGAAGCGTCTGACATAAGAGGACAGCATAAGGATAACATGGATGGAGAGATTTAGCAATGCCTCGACATCCCATAGATCCTTGCAGAATCCTACTGGCACCGTAGTAATGTAGGGGCCTTTACAATTAGAATAGGGTTTATGGGGTTCCTCAGTGTAATTATAGTATAACATACGGCCAAACCCTATTCTGATTATCAAAGCCCCTACAATTGACGACTAGAACTCCAACCCCATTGACCAACAACGCCTCGGCTTGGAGAGATCTTTCAGCCATGGCGCTGCCGGCTTCCGCGCTCAGATGCTCGCACAGGCTGGCGAGCACCTGAAATGAGTTCCCTAACGGATTATGGGACTTAGTGACAAGGGTTGCACATCAGGGAACTACACTTTAACTGCTTCTAACCTCGATTACGCACATGAAGTTAAGGTTAGTAGACTTTGGGTAGTGCATAGCCATAGTATACAGCACAGTGTATGAACTTCGTACTATGAAGTGAGTGAAGGAGTCTCGCCTTGTATACTATAGCTTTTGGGATGATGTCGCTTATGCTACGTGGTATATAATAGATCGTATGCATCCCAGAGGCTCCATATATAGTACCATTACTGAATTAAGTCCCTAAAGCCTTAATAAGGATGGTGTTTCGGGACGTGATTCCATAATGGTACTACGTGTGGAGCCTCTGGGCATTGTACAGAGCATAGCGCAAGTAGCACACGGCCGCACCTCCAGCGAGCGTGTGGCGAGCATCTCGTAGCCGCTTACGGTGGGGTCGCCTTTCAGGGTGTGTGGATGCAGGGGTTGAGAGGGTTTAATGCGTTTAGGGTTTAGGGTTTAGGGTGTAGGGGCCGCAATATTTAGAATAGGGTTTGGGGGTATATTCTACTATGATGAACATAAAAAGGAACCCCCCAAAAAAACTCTATTCTAACTATGAAGGCCCCTATATTACCCGTTTAGGGTTTCAGGTTCTGGGCTTCGAGGGCGCCTGGAGATTCTTGGAGTTGGCCCATTTAGGGTTTCAGGGTTTAGGTGCTTAGTGGTTTGGGGTTAAGGCTTGGGGTATCAACCCTAAACCCTAACCTCTAAACCCGAAACCCTAAACCCCCAGAAACCCTAAACCCCTAAACCCCAAACCGCTAGACCCTAAACCCCTAAACACCTATCCCCTAAACCCCTGAACCCTAAACCCGTAAGGCCTAAACCTCTAGGGTTTTTAAAGGAGTTTCGGCGGGATCCGGCCTGAGAGCCCGGTAGCCAGGATCGCTTCCTCGGTTCTTTCATTCAGGAACTCAGTTTCTGCCATCGTACAGCTTAAACCCTAAACCCTAAACCCTAAAGTTTAGGGTTTAGGGTTTACGATTACAATAGGGTCTTGGGCTCCTCTACGTACCGTATAACTATAATAAGGAAGCCCAAAAATAGTTGTAGTATCTGCGGAAGCCACGCTACTTGCTACAGATTCCCATCATCTAGGAAGTAGTAGGGAGCCATGCTATTTTCTAGCGATCCCTATTGTTCAGGAATTAGTTCAAGACATCATGCGGAAAGCAGATGCTTGCTTTAGATCCCAATTATGGCAAAAAAATCTAAGTTTCTGAACCGGAGACCAGCTTCGAACGCCGATGACGCCACGAGTTGAACATGCCGCCGGAGAGCAAAGCCCACAGCAAGGATCCTTTCGTTTTGCTATCAGGGTTTTAGGGGCTTTAGGGTTTCGGGTTTGGGTTTCAGCGGTTTTAGAGTTTTGGGGGCTTTAGGGTTTCATCCTTTCGACTTTGTATGTTGTAGGGTTCTAAGGGTTCAAGAGGGTTTTAGGGTGTGTAGGGTTTTATCCTTTCGATGTGACTACTGCTTGCCATAGGATATGGGCCAGTCTAGCTAGCAGGGTTTAGGGTTTAGGGGTGTTCTTCAAGATCTTGCAAGAACAATGAAAGCCCTAACTTTAAACCCTGAAGCCCAACAACTTCAATGCCCTTCAGAACTGTCTTGGTTTGGTGTAAGGTTTAAGGGGTTTGGGATTTAGGAGGTTTAGTGTTTCAGCGGTTCGGCCCGATTTCCTACATGTGGGCTGCAGGGTTTCGGGTTTAGGGCTTAGGGTCCCTTATTCCGTTCGCGTCCCTGACTTTCTGAAACTCCCTCTGGGTCCTATACCCAACAGAAACCTTGCTTCATAGCTTGAAGCGAATAGAAATCCTGAACCCTCATATCTAAGTTTAAGACCCCTATACATCCCTTACAGCACCCTCGAAGGATCCCTAAAGCAATCCCGAAAGTATGCCTTACCTAAACCCTAAATCCTAAAGCCTAAAACCTTAAACCCGAAACCCCTAAAACCCTAAAACCCTAAACCCCAGATCCCAAACCCTAAACCCCAAAGCCCTAAAAATCCAAAAAACAAAAACCCTAAACTTTAAAACCCTAAGAAAACCCCAAACCCTAACCCCTCAAACCCACTACACCCTAAACCCTAAACAACCTAAGCCCCATGAACCTCGAACTGCTGCCACGATTCAAGGCGGGAAGCGGTGCAGTGTTCCCAGCAGCGGCGAATGACTGCAGGGTTCGGCGGGTCAAAGGCTTTTCGGGCCTTTCGGACTTTGGGGTTTGGGGTGTAGGGGTTAGGCTTTATCAGGGTTTAGGCTTTAGCAGGGTTTAGGCTTTAGGGTTTAGGGTTTAGGCTTTATCAGGGTTTAGGGTTTAGGGTTCAGTTTAGATAGGGTCTACGGGTTCTGGGTTTAAGGGCTTGGGGCTTGGGGGTTTCCAGATTTCGCTTTCCAGTGTCGAGGTCCCCCGCAGGACACCCAGAGAGCCCAAAACCCCTCAAACAAGGAATAGGGTTTAGGGTTTAGGGTGTAGGGTTTAGTTCCCTGAATCAGGGTTTGGGATTTAGGGTTTAGTTCCCTGAATCAGAACAAGAACTACCGTGTTTTATCTTTGAAGATACAGTCTGCGTCAAAGATTACGGCTGATTGGGATGTGTGTTGCGCCAACAACTTGGCAAGCTGAACGCGGTCTCGAGGCCTTCAGAGGCCCCCGCGACGTTCGATACGGACCCTAAACCCTAAACCCTAAACCCTAAACCCTAAACAGAGTCTTATCAGGGTTCTACAAGGGTTGTAGTGTGATTCTGTATCCACATCGACGTTGCTTCTTCGTGTGAATCCCTGGTAAGTTGAGAATGGACAGGGAGCGCCCCTCAACCGAGGGGCATAAGCTAGCCAAGCAGATTCAGGTCGATAAGGTGCCGGGTAGACGAAAAACCACCGTGAAGGGTTACTATGAGGTATACCTATAGTACTATAGTCTCCATTGAAGTTCCTTTTTGGGTTAACCAATTTTATGGTGATCCTATAGAAATTTGGTTAGCCAAAACTTTAAAAAAGGAACTACAACGGAGACTATAGGTAAGGGTTGCTGCGACAGCTCCAAAACCCGAAATGTTGAAACCCTGAACACTAAACCTTGACTCTAAACACAAATCCCCAAAACCCAACAACCTCTAACCCGCCAGACCCTTGAGCCCTATACCTATAGTCTCCATTGTAGTCCGTTTTTGGTTAACCCTTTTTACGGTTAGGATCTTATAATATAAATTTGGTTAGCCAAAAAAAGGAACTACAATGGAGACTTAGGCATAAAGTCCCAGCAACCCTACAACCCTCAAATCGTAAGCCCTAGACCCTTGGCATCTTTGCTGCTAATACAGGGGCCTTCATAGTTAGAACAAAGCTTTGGGGTATATTATACTATAATTCTACTAAGGAACCCACCAAAATAATATAGGTATACTATAATTCTAATAAGGAACCCAAAAAAAATATAGGTATACTATAATTTTGATAAGGAGCCCCCAAAATAATATAGGTATACTACAATTTCAATAAGGAAGCCCCTAAAAATAGTATAGGTAACAAACTAATATTAAGGCCCCTATAGTACAGGCCTGACAGATCTGAAGGAGATCTTGGGCAACCAGGGTGCCGGCACCAACGCCGCGCCTTGGGGTTTTCATGGTTTCGGGTTTAGGGTTTAGGGTTTTTAGGGTTTAGGGTTTAGGGTTTAGGGTTTAGGTTTCGGGTTTAGGGTTTGGGTTTAAGGCTTACATATAGTCTCCATTGTAGTTCCTTTTTGGGGATACCTTATAAAATCCTGAATAG